TACTGAAGATTTATCTGCGGTCATGGCCATGTTAAAAACCATGGATAGGAGAATGGACAAAATGGATCAAACTATCCATTCTATTCGGGTGGTTTGTGAAAACTGCAATGGACTTCACCTCACTAGAGATTGCCATTTGGATGAGAATGGCAACAAGAAGGCACAAGCATGTTATTCGAGCGGTGACCGGTATGATGAGGACTGGCGCAAACAAAAGAAAGAGTGGCTGCCTTACGAAGAGTACAAGAAGGCCAAGGAGGAGAAGTATAGACAAAAAGGGAGAGACTTTTGTCAAAAGGAGGAGCCGGTGCAAGAGAAGAAGCCAAGCTTGGAAGATATGCTTACTAAATTTGTGGCTGCTTCCGAGAAAAGACATAGTGACCATGATGCTGTTATCCAAGAAACAAGAACCATGCTCAGGAACCAGCAAGCATCCATCCACAACATAGAAACGCAGCTTGGGCAACTTGCTCAACAACTAAACCAAAGGTCACCGGGTGAGCTTCCTAGCAAACCGAGAACAACCCACGAGGCGCACAAGTAAACATTGTCACCACAAGAAGTGGGAAGATCATCACTCCCCTGGCCCCCATTTCGAACTGAAGCAACCAGGGACTCGCAGAAGGAAGGAACGGAAGAATAAGCAGAAAACCAAGATTCACAATCTGAGAGTTCTACTCGCCGAGTAGGGCCGATGGACTCGGTGAGTACCCCAGCAAAAACGAATGAACAGCCTCCCTTGAAGCCATACCAGCCTCCAATGCCATACCTAGCCTGAGCCAAGAAAGAGAAGCAGGAAGAGGAATATCAGAAGTTTCTAGACCACATTAAAACTCTTCAAATCAACATTCCTTTCATTGAAGCCGTCATGCAAATGCCCAAGTATGCTAAGTTCCTTAAGGAACTCCTCACCAATAGAAGGAAGATGGAGGAAGTGCAGAAGGTAGTGCTTAATGAGAATTGCTCTGCCGCAATGCTAAACAAGTTACCAAAGAAGAAGGGTGATCCGGGGAGCTTAACTTTACCTTGCCAATTTGGCAACTTGGCTGCAATTCATGCCTTAGCTGATTCTTGTTCAAGTTTTTGTCTTTGCTAGGTTTATTCACAGGTACAATGGCAAGGGACAAGACCATTCACGCATCTCATGGTTCTTCGCGTGAAGCTCAATCCTCGGGGCCATCCAAGAAAATGTCCACCGACCATGTTGATAGTGATGGGAACCTTACCCTCACGAGTGCCCGAAGCCGGGAGTTCAATTCCAACCTTCAAAAGCGTGCAATCCGCGCCACAAAATTTTACCACCAAGATTCTATGGATCAACTCGGCCTTGACCACCACTTGCGACAAATATTTTTCCACATTGGTTGGCACCAGTTTCTCGATCTTTCTGCACGTACCTACAAGCAGCCCACAATCAAATTCCTCTCCACCTATGCTCGCAATGACACGACGAGGGTACTCACTTTCAAACTCCAGGGTCGGCAGCACCGACTCAAGTACAAAAAACTCAACAAGATCATGGGCACATATGACATCTACAACTCCGAAATTTACAGCTACCAATGGACTCAATTCAAAAGCTTGCCCAACGTAGACTTTTGGACCTAAATCACGAGCCTGCCCAAGTTCAATCCCAGTCGCCAAAAAGACCCGTTTATCATACATCCTTGCTGGAGAATTGCCCACCAGATCCCATCCACATCTATCTTTGCTCGTCACGAGCCGGGACAAATCAACACCGTTGAGTTGTATTTCTCTATTGCATGTCGCGCCACCGTTGGTCTTTACCCGATTTCGCCACCTTCTTTTTAGACAAATGTGACAGCCTCAGGACGAAGACCACTGGTGACATTTGTATTGGAGGTCTCATTACCCTCATTGGTTTGGGTATGGGCCTTCAATTTCCAGCATCTGAATATGTACCAGTGGATGATCCACCTCTTTACCTTCTCGATTGCATTACTCTCATGCGGATGGAATTAATTCTACCTCATCCTAATCTTCTTGGACATTTCTCTTAGCTAAACCATGTCAAGGACCCAGTTTACATCTTACCCAATCCAAGTATCTCCACCTTCACCACCAATGACCCCGAAACATGGTTTTTGCCTCAAGACTTGCCAGACGATGATGACGCAGCCGCGGATGATGACATGCAGGTGGATCCTGACAATGCTGATAGCCCATTCGAGGCCGAAGACCATTATGATCTCCCAATCCGCCAGCTACCTCCACCTCATCCAGATCAAGCCTCTGGGTCACACTTTCAGCCCTCGCGAGAACACTCCCAGCCACAACATGACTACCACTCATACCAGCAACCCAATGAGCCCGACCCTGCACACGAATTTCCTCTCGATATTTATAGTCAGCTTGCTTCCTTGCGCCTCCAGGGCAATACAAACACCGCAGCCATCCATCGCATAGAGGAACAAAAAGCACGCACCCACACTTACATGGAGGACCTATGGTATCATTTTCGGCCCAAGGACGGTTATCCTCCTCGCGAGCCTCCTCCATCTTGATCCCGGTATGATCCTTCCTTACTCTCATCCTAAGCATTGAGGACAATGCTTAATTTTAAGCTTGGGGTGAGGTAATCTAATCTTTTATTTTTATTGCATTTAGGTTGTATATAGTTGCATTTAGAGTTAGTCATTTAGGGCATTCATAAAAATTGCATAAAAAATTCAAAAATATTGCATATTTTCTTTCTTTCTTTTCTAATTTTCATACTTTTTAGATGCATTCTAGTTTAAGTTCATGCATTTTTGTTCTCTCTTGTCTTCTCATCCCTACATGTACCATAGCGCCGAGTCATAAGTATTGAATCATAGATTGGTCCTCGGTCTTGATATGGAATTCCTTGTATTTGATGAATGGGGCACGTTTTGAGCCTCACAGACCACTTTGAGACCGCTTGTGTGGGGGTCAGATGCAGGTAGCTTGATTGGGTCTAGGTGCAGAGGGAAGTGGTTGGTCATGCCAATGTGACTAGCCCGGTAAGGTATTTTGAAGACATTGAAGATATTGAAGACTCGCATCTTGGTTTTGGAGGGAGTACCCCTTAGTACTCCCGAGTCTCGTCCGAGCCTTGTTTAGTTAGATTTTCACCATCTTTTTTAGGATAGGTTATCATTTTTCTAGGGGTCTAGAGTAGATAGTTAGATAGATTTTGTTTATCACACCTTGCATTGAGGTGCTTGGTGAACTTTGAAGTGGGTCCCCCAATTCACATCTTTTGGGACCAAGTCTTTTCGGTAACATTTTTGAGTCATTCCCCACCCTTTTTAGTTGATATTGGCACATTGTCAATGATCATTAGGTGTTCATATTAGCCTCCATCTATCACTCAATGTTCACTATTGGAGTCCTATGTTACTTGGTGAAAATCCTTAGACCTTCCAAGAAGCAACACAAAGAATGAAGAAATTTGAAAAAGTGAAGAAAATAAGAGCCTATTAAAGATGATTCAAGAAAAGCAACAAAAACAAAGAAGAAAAAAATGAAGAAAAAGAGCAACACAAAAAGAAGAACAAGATTCCAAGTTCAAGACTTATGTTATATATCTAGTTTGCAAAAAAAAAAAAAAAAAAAAAAAAAAAAAAACTGGATGTCAAGCAGCAAATGTGATTGAAGACCCAATAACAGAAGTTCAAGATTGAAGATTTAGGTTGTTAGGTTTAGATTTAGGTTAAGTATAATTTTTATTATTTTATTTTATTTTTGATTTTTGGTGAGAAAAGGCCCCGACGATGAGACGGTAGACTGTAAAGGACAGTACAAGGGAGAAGCCTCTGAAACCGGATGTTTGCCCGGAGGCCGTGCTGCAAAACCCTATTTCGTTATTATACACTTTGGCCTGACAAATGTAGGAATCATAGTGTGTGAAGAGGCGCCTTTCCTTCGTGCACTATGGTCTACATTGGTGATTTAAAGTGCCCCCACTGGGCACATCTCTGTTTCCTTTGTCTTGCACACCGCGACCGCATCCAGCCGTGATCTATTCGCCCATCAAGTGGTTGAGAATGTGGTTTATGGCTCTAAAGCGGGGAACATTTTGAAGATGCGTAGGGTCCATTGAAGGACTAATTCTGACCATGTTGACTGATGTTGACCAAGTTCTATGGTATCTTTCTTTTTCCTTTTTAGATAGTTCATCCCGAGCTCATTTTTAGTCTTGTTCTAACTTGAGGACAAGTTAGGTTTAAGCTTGGGGTGATTTGATAGCTTATTTTATTTCCTTATTTTTATTAGTTTATTTTAGATTTTTAGATCTTTTTATCATTAATGCATTGTATTTTATTTATTTTTCTTTAGTATGGATCGTACCGGGTGCTTGTTATGTTGCATGAGATATTTTGTAGGTTTTTCGGTGCTTGTTGCGGTTGCGGGTTGATTGGAGACGGGCTTAGTGGGCTCCCGAGGCATTATTGGGCTTGGCGGAATCAAAGAGGAAGAATTGGGCTTTGAAAGTTATTGGCTTGGATTATTTGGGCTTATGAAGATGGATCATAAATTTCTAATTTTGGGCTTGGAGCATCCATTTTGTGGCTAAATGATGATTGGTGCATTTCAAATTACATGGACAAGGAGGGGGGACCAAAGGAATCTTTGGTAGTGGAAGGGTGGAGTGGCTTGGTGGACCAATAGCATTACAGCAACATTTGCGCGGGTGGAATTTTCGTCGCGTGGGTACCCGCGCAACTGCCCAGTTTGGGCATTTTGGTCATTTGGCTTGCCATAACCCTTGGGGATCAGATCTAGAAGCTCATTCACGATTTTCCACCATTGGAGACCTGCAAGAGGCGATTTTGGGAGCTAGAAACCATTTCCTTTCATCTTTCCAAATCTTAGGTAGTTTCTTTATGCAATTAGATTATTGTTCTTGTTACTTTGTTGCCATGAGTGGCTAATACTCTTATTTGGTTGACTTTGGCTGAAAACCAATGAATGTTTGTGGGTTTTGAAGGATTTATGTTGATTATCAATTTATTCCATGTTTATGATTCTAGTTTGCAATTCTTATGTTTATTTGATACTTTGATCATGAGCTTAGTATTTGATTGAGCAATAGTTGATTTATTTCATTGATTTTGCATTGGATCATTGAATTTATCTAGAACAAAGGCTTTATGATGGTAGAAATCATCTCTAGCTTATGAATCATATCTCCTTTATGGATTTGTAAGCATTTGACATCCTCTAGGAATTGGGGATTCCTTCATTCTTAAGGCTAATTGATTTCTTGGGATTAATTGCTTCAATTGACCCTTGATCTTAATTAAGAAAGTGTGTTGTGGGCTTCCCTAACCTCCATACTACCTATGAGGAATCTTGGCATATCATGCTTCATGATTGCTATAACCAATTTGGGATGAATGATAAGCTTTGTATTAGATCCTAATGATAAACACACAAATGTTCATTGTGTTGAATTGCCTTAGTTAACCAATTATTCACAATCTTTGAGCATCTCATCAACTTGCTTAATTGCAAGGTTTTTAGTTATTCAAGTATTTTAGTTTTCAAGTAATCAAACACCCCCCTTTTATTTTAATTGTAGTTAGTTAGTTTAATTTCACTAGTTCTATTGAATTGCATTGGTGATTGAATACAACCATTTCTCCGAGGATCGATACCTCTTTTTACCATTATATTACGTTTATTTAGCAATCAAAGGGTGTAATTTGCTTGGTGAGCTTGACATCCCAACCAATGTACAAGAAGTTATACGTACAATAAGTGGACAAATAAAAAGTAGTTTTCTATTCTATCAATTAACGCTTTTAATTAATAGTATGTGCTGTTGATATGTATCATCGCTTCAATTAATCAAGTCTTTAGGAGACTTACGGCATAAAGGAGATAGAAATGCAAATACAAATAATTAAATAAAAGTAAAAAATTTGTAATCGTGTCACCTTGAAATTTGAAAATATATTTGCATAAGATCTGGTATTTACATAGAAAACGTAAGCCTTTAATGACTTATAAAGGTGGTATATGTATGAATGAAGAAACCGACAATTTATTTTTATTTATTTATTTATTTATTTTTTTGCACATGACGAGTGACATAGGCAACAAAGTAAAACATGAATAAAATACCCAAGTAGTAGAGGCAGATATAAAAAGTAAGTTTGAAAATACTTAGATACTACATGTAAGTAAATAAGAAAAGAAAAACGAGAAGGTGAAAATTGGATGTGCAATATTAGACTACGGAATGCTACCATGCTATCTTGATTCCAAGCCTCCACATTTTACCTAAGCAACATACCTTAATTCTAAGCCTCTATATTTCACACAACATAGAAGTACAAAAGTTGGCCTGATTAGTCATTTAAGCATCCTCCATGTGCCTGCAACCAATCAAAAAGATATACAAAAGCTCAACAAGTACATAAGTTAAAAAGAAACAACAAACTTTAAATTTAGTGTAGGACCATGAGAACATATCAATACATATAGGACTTTTAAGGGTAAGAAACCATTTTCCATGTACATAATTAGTTAGTATCGTTTGTTTTTTCAAACCATACTTCCTTAAAATGATTATTTTTATACAAAATAGGCACTCTAGCCGGCTATTATCTGTTTAACCTGCTATGACTATTCCAACGAAAAAGCAAAAGGACTTCATGACATGAGAATTCGATGATGATGGTGGGGGTGCATTAGATATGTTCAGTTGGTCTCAACAACTTTCGGTACTTCCATCAATAATGAAGATCCATGAACCATATCACTCCATGATGGTGGGGTGTGAGAGATCAATTTCCTTAATCATTTCATAAGAGAAATGGAGCACCTCTTCTTTATCTTGCGATTCCTCGTATGCTTTAAAGTTTAATCCATCATCGTTTTCTGGAAGAACAACCGGAAAATGGTCCAACACTAACAACACCTTAATTTCTTCTCCTTCCACACGTCTTCAACAATTAATGGTCCAATACCACCATCACCTTAATCTTCCATAATTCACACACCTACACACACTAATGTCGTGGATAGGGCACAGATTTTACTATTTCAGTACATGAAAAGGATGGGTCGGGCTTGAAGGGTCAAGCTATCTTGATTGGCATATGTGGTAATTGGTATTCATCAGTTTGTGTTCCCCACTTACAAAGCTTTTAAAACAAAGATGTCCTCTTGAAACCCAGAAAATAAGAAAAAGAAACAATAACCAGGTGGTTAGATGGGATATTGCTGACGCCGGAAGAAAACCTATTCATGAAATGTTGACTCCCTTTGGTTTTCCAAATGCTAGAAGAAACCCCGATCGGCGGATTCAGCAGAAAATGGAAAGCTAATGAGTGGCATGTTTCCACATGTTGCTTGCATTTACAGAAACCGCATTCATGAAAGAACACACCAGGAGAACGAGACTCGTGGGGAAAAAAATAAGAATCCGGAGAATAATTCTGACATCGGTGCCGGAAAAGATAACCGCAGACACGCCCAAGATGCCAAGAACAGGCAGTAGCCGGTTGGTGACGTTAATAAAAATCATTTTAGG